CAACCTAACCTCACTCAACTATGAATCACAGTCATAGTCATAGTCATGGTTACCAACCTAACCTCACTCAACTATGAATCATAGTCATCGTCATCAACCCAACCTAACTCAACTTTTAGCCTTGACTGTTTCGTGCAAAAAAAACAATTCAAAAGGTGACTTTAACCTTTATCAACCTTTTATAATTAAATACACAACATTTAAAGATAAAAAATAATCAATTTATTTAAAGAATTTTATGTTTGAATTTTTTTTTTTGTTATAAAAGTAAAAAAAAATCTAAATCTGACTTGAACAAATGAATGCAACACCTCGTTCATAAAACATATATTCTTCTTGTTTATCACCCAATTCCAGATCGACCGAGAATAATAATTCTGAACGTGTTGAATTTAGATAAACTGGTAACGTAACCTGGTGATAAATTTTTTTGAAAAAAAGATTAGATAATGATAAAATAAAACTTATAACTGATAAAAATCAATCAATCAAACAAAAAAAAATACCTTATTCGCTTGATTTTTATTCATTTCCGAATCAACCGAACGAATCCATTTGAATGATGTTAATTGTAATGGTGATAAAATTTTATTTGTTACATAAAGTTTATTTTGTCTAACTTCAGCACCTTGTAATTTAAGACCAACAATACCGAATGATGATTTATCACTTAATGTATCCGAATCCGAAATCTGTATCTGCAGCATTAATTCTTCCAATGACCAACCATTAGCTTGTGCAACAAATTGTCGTGTTGCTGTTATATAAGCTTCAGGTACAAATAATCCACCTAGCCAGATATTAAGATTCTGAAAATAACGAGAAAAAACAACGAGAAAAAAGGATAAATAAAATTGATGATAATGATGGTGACTAAAATGGAAATAGTTTACCTTTAGATTTGAAATTGATGATGATTGAATTTGTTGCATTTGTTTAATACGATCAGCAAAATCCGTAATCCATTGAATAATTGTAAATGATTCGGGTGTACGATAACGTTTCCAATGATTTGGTATCATACCTTTTGCCAGATATTCAGTTATTTCACGATGATAATTTGTTTGTTTTTTCTCTGCACGACAAATAGCAATAACATCCAACAGATCATGTCTTACAACGGATAATAATTTACCAGCATTATTAACTTCACGTTCAAAATAACGATATAATGGTTCTTTTATATTATCTGATGTACGTTTCATTGATGCTAATTGATTTGGTATTAATTTTAACCAATTTGTTGCCGAATTTAATAATGTTCGCATCCATGCTGGACGACCATCTTCATTGATTTGTTTACCACCACCACCACCACCAGCATTTGAATCAATACCATCCAAACCAATAACAACAATATCATCATCATCTTCAAGTAATTGTAATTTAAGCAACTTGGCAATCAAATCTACACCATGATTTGTAAGCAGCACTAATTCAGCTTTGTTAGGCAGACCTAACCATGATGGTGTTTGACGATCAGATAATGATTCAACCCAATTCAAGAATTCATCACGTCGAATAATTCCTTCGGGTATAGTAATATTATTCATTGATGATGAATGTTGATCATTATCTTGTTCACGTGCAAGTATAAATTCTGATTCAAAACTTTTTGGTGTAAATAATTTTTGTAGAAAAGTTGTCAATAAACGTTGATCAAAATCATTATCAATTTTTCCACCATAAATACATTGACCAAATAATGTTCGTATAGCATCGAATGGTACTTTTTCTGGTGGTAAATTTGTTCGGCCCATCGATACGGTATCAATCCATGTATCCAATGTATCGAATGATACTTTTAAATCAGATTCATTAAATTCATAACGTTTTGACCAACCCAGTGGGCAATATCGAAGTCGTTCCTGAACGATTGCATGAAACCATGAAACAAGGAAATAAAGCCGTGAACGTTCATTTGGTGCTTTCATCATTCTTGATGCTGGAATAGTGGAAAATGTTCGTAAAAGATTGGCACGTATACCTGGTGGTGGTTCAAAAACGAATATTCGACCGGCACGAAGTAGATTTACCGGAATTTTTGGATGAATTTCCAGCGTTAAAAACAAACGAAACGATGGATTTGATTGTAATGCATGCAACTTTTTTTCCAATTGTATCAGCCATTGTGGTGCAAGATGAACATTTTTAAGCATAACCCATTTACCAGATTTCGAAGCAGAATTTATAGCTTTTTCCGCTTGTGAGAATCCTTCAGCCGAACCAATAGCTATTGATGTTATCGGTCGATTAAGTTCGGCGGCTAAATCATCAACACGACCACTTGCATCATAACCCGGTACTGAACACATTAAAATCGGTGTACTTGCTTTAATCAATTTTTCCACTGCAGCACCTAAATCATATTCATTTTCAGCAAAATGTGAAAAATTTTCACCAAATATAACGGCTACAACACGATTAACAATCGATATAACTCTATCTGGACGAAATGTATGTATAACTAATAGTTGATGCATAACACGACCAATATCCGATAGATTTTTATCATCATCCCATATAATTGGTACATTATCTTCAGGTGTACTACTATCATGTAACCATTCATTAAATTCACTGGCACAATGTTCAATATTTTTCTGTAGATTACGAAATGTACGTAATTTAGATAATGCTGTTGCTGATTCTAAACGATCATCTGATGATTGTATTGATGGTAAATTGATTAATGGTTGTCCGGGTAATATTCCTTCAAGACCACGCATCAGATGATCAAATTCATTTTCAAAATTACGTTCATTTGTAAAACCACGAATATAAATTTTACATAATAATAATGCAAACACTAACCAATCTTGATGTAACATACCACGTGTTACACGAACATAAACAACTTCAAATAATTTTTTCGTTATATTACCCAAACGTTGATTATAATCAGATATTTGTTGTTGTTGTTGTCCATTACTATTAGCCAAAACATCATTAAAAATATCCAAAAAGAATTGCAATGAATATTGATAAAGAAAATGAACTTGATTTAATCCTTCCAGAGTGAAATAAATTGAACTACAAGCTTGTGCCAAAGGGTTATATTGTTGTGATACGGAATCAACTTCAGCAATAACTTTATCAGTTTCTTCAACTTTTTTCGATATTTCACCAGCTTCATGTTTTAATTTTTCCAATGTTGATATAATAGAATCATCATCTAATATTCTACCTTTAACATCATTCAATGCTTGTAGCAAAGATTTTTCCAAACGTCGAAGTTTAACATGAAATTCACCTTGTAATTTAAGTAAATCTGAACGTTTTTCATCAATATCCGGACGTTCACAACGTAAAACTTGATTTAAACATTGTGCTTGTAAACTTGAACGTGTTACAGTAAAATTTACAAATGTTACACGTGAACATATATCTGGTGGAAATTCAACAGTTGGATCACGTGTCGAAAGGAATATACAAAATGATGGTGAAAGATCAATATCTTGATCACCCAAGGTGATTAAAACACGACCACCAGTTTTTCTTACTTCACGATTCAAAACTGGATTCAAAATTGGATCATAATTTTCAACATCTTGAACAAGTAGTGGATTACCAAATCGAAGAGCTGATTCCAGATTCTTACGGAAAGAATCATCCAAAAAGCTTGTTTTCGTAATACGTTTTTGATCGAATTCCGAAAGTAGAAAACGTGTAGCCTGACCAGATGGATCAATAATCAATGGGAAACGATTAAAACGTTTCAACATTATTGCATTTTCAACACATAAATCATCCGATGGTAAGGAATTTGCTTGCCAACGTAAACGTTCATCTGCTGTAGATAGATATTCTGTCAAAGCCAAATCCGAACGATATTGAATTTTAGCCTGATTCAAATGTGTACACCATGAATTAAATAATGATTGTCGATATTGTTGATCAAAATAACCGGCATAAGCTAAAAATGCTGCCGAAAGTATACAATCACCGGCAATTGTTTGCATTTGATTTTTAAACGTTTCGGATGAATGTTCCCAACGTTCACGTTCATTACTTAGACTTTTCAATAGGGCAATTGAACGATCAACTTTTGATTGAACATTAGCTAAATCTGATTTGATAGCTTGGGCTTGTGATACCAAATTTGCATATTCTTCTTTATACGATGCAATTGAACGTTCTAATTGACCAACAATCCTATCGGTTTCAGCAGCTTTAGCTTTATTTACATCAGCTTCGGATTCCAGATTTTTCAATTCATTACGTAATGGTTCAATTTTTTTCAACATATCAGCATAATTAACCTGTGCAATTGCCCATTTTACTAATGGTTCACATGCTAATGATGCATGTTTAATTTTTTCAAAATTATAATCCGGATTTTGTAGATATTTTGTAATCATTTTTTGACGAATATCTTCACTATAATTTGATCAAAAAAAGGGTTAAAAAAGAGAAAAAAGGGTTAAAAAATGAATTTTAACAAAAGGAAACAAAAACAAGGAAAAAAAAGGAATAGCAAGCAAGCAAGCATTTTGCAATGCTAAACACACTAATTCGTAATTACGTAATATCTTCAGCCGAAAAGCTAATTATATTTGGTATGAAATTTTCTTTGATTATAATTCCACGTAAAATTTTCCAATCATTTGTTGATTCACCCAACAATAAACAAATTGATTCGAGAACATTTTTAATTATAGCCGGTGGATTTGACATTGTACGTATTTCGACCAAATGTTGTCGTTTGATTGATTTTACTCCTTTTTTAAGCGAAAAAGCAATTAAGCGAAAGGCGAAGAAGCAAAGCGGAAAAGGGAGAAAGAAAAAGAAAAAATATTTAGTCAATTTGGCTTACGTAATATTATCAGTTTGAAAATTGACAATAGTTGAAATGAAATTTTCACGCATCAAAATCGATCGGATTACTTTCCAATCGGTTGTTGATTCACCCAATAATAAACAAATTGATTCCATTGCTAATTTTACTGCCGGTGGTGGATTTGTCATTGATTTTACTTCGACTAGATTTTGTTTTTTTATCGATTGTACGGCTATGGATATTCAAAGGTTCAATAACGAAAAACAGAAAAAACGCAAAAACAAAAACAGAAAAAGTTTGAAAATAAAAAACAAAAAAAGAAATTAAAAAATCATAAAAAAACGAAATCAAAAATTGAAATAAAAAACGATCCACAAGAAGAAATCAATCGATATGTGTGTTTTGTTCCAAATAAGTTTTTTTTTGGTTTTTGGTTCAAAGTTTTTGAAAAAATTTGAAAACGAAACATACCTTGTCGCGCTTCTTCAACCGCAGGTTTTACTTGTGCTAAATCGGCCATAACAGCAGCTGTTTTTTCTCCAATTTCCGTTTCTTGTTTCTGTGTGTGGGAAAAAAACAAATTTCAAAATTTAAGAAATTCCACCAGGTAAATCCTTCACAGGTAAAACCAATCAACCGGTAAAACATACCTTCAACATTAATTGTAATTCTTGTGATTTAACTTTTTCTCTTTCAGCTTCTTGCTGGTCTTTTAACATTTCTTTAAGTTTTGCATTAGCCGCTTGATTTTTTTGCTCCAAATCATTTGATTTGGATGCTAATGATTTTTGTAATTCTTCAACTTGTTCAACTGTTTCACGAATTTTCGTAAGGCCTACATTCAAATGTAGTTGTTCATCTTCTAATTCGGAACATTTTTCATAAAATAATTTTACAAAATGATTAATCAAATCTAAATAATGACGTGGTGTAATGGTTGATATACGACCACCACGACGTAAAAGACGTTCATTTGCATAATGTAATGTTTGATGAATAAAAACAAATGAATTTATAATTGCATCACGATGTCTTGGTTGCTGTGGGAATGAATTCCTAAATGCTGCTGGAAATATTTCCGGTGGTTGATAACGTACATTTTCCAGATCTAATTTTGATGTAAATTCTTGACCAACTTGAAATTGTGCTTCTGGTGTCCAATCACCAAACCAATTCAGTACACAACGATTAAACAGTGCGGGTGATGTTGCAGCACGATCTTTTAAACCTTCACTTGATGGATTCATTGTGAAAACAACATGCAAGTTTTTTATTACTTGTTGTGTAAACCATTTATATAATTCTTCATTTGAATCCAACATCAGACCTTCACGTTGACTTGCATCTTTAATCTGTGTTATTAATGTAGTATATTCATCACCTTCAAATAGACCAGGTACTTCACCATTAGCCAATAGCGTATTCATACGTTCAAGGAATCCAGAATCCAATACATTCGATTCATCCAATATGAAACAAATTTTTTCATTTTTACAACCAGAACGACGTAATACTGAACGTAAATCTTCATCAAAATCAGCACCAGAATATTTATTATGAACTTTAATCTGAAAAATACTCAAGCCATTCATCCATGCAACAAAACGTGATAATGTTGTTTTACCAGCTCCAGAAACACCGATTAAAAGTAAATGTCCTTGTGGTTGTCGGAAAATACGATCAATACGTAGGACATGATCGAGAACTTCATTAAATAAAACCAACTGGACATCTAATTCTTCTTCATAAAATACTTTCAATCGAGCTTTTACAAATTCACGTAAATGTTCACGATCAACAGGTAGATAATCTTTTGATAGCCAATTACTATACAGTATTGGACGATTCAATGCCTGATGACGATCAATATTTGGAAAATGTTTCAATGCAATCATATCAATATGTTCATCAGTCCATTGTCGTTCATAATCTTCAACCAGACGATCCTGGAACAATCGAAGACCTTCATGTGTCCAAAGACGAACCAGACCTTCAACCGTTAATGAATCTAATGGACGAATTGCTTCAAAAATACCACGTACCCAACGTGTTAATTCTCTTGGTGAATAAATATAATGTGGTTGCATATCTTGTGTAAAATGTTCTTGTGACATTAAATAAAATTCAACCATAGCCGATGTTAATGGTTCAGAATATGTTCGTAAATTTGGCATTAATTTCAACATTGCACGATTAAATGTACCATAAATTTGTTTTAATGATTGTTCACCAGGATAATCAACATAAATAATCGGTACATGACGTAAGAAACGATGTGATAATGGTTTTCTACCCGGATCGGTTGGTGGATTACAAGCACCAACAAATTGTATACGTTCCAAACGTACCCAAGAATGATCTTGTTGACGATAAAATCCACCATATTCAACTAATTGCCGAAGAAATGATATAACCCTTATCGTACCATATTTATCAACTTGTGGTAAATTAATTTCATCACAAAACAAAATCAGCCATTTTCCAATCTGTATTGGTGACATAACTAAACCATTTGGTGTTTTACGACATTCACAATAATGATCAAATGTTTTTAGCAATAATTCCGGTGTAGTAGCCGATGAGAAATTTAAACCAACAACTTCCATATCCGGCAGTGAACGTAATGAATTAAATAATGTCATTGTTTTACCCGATCCAGGTGGACCACAAAGAACCAAAGGTTTATGTTCAGCCAACCATGTATTCAATAATAATTCATGTCGTACAGTATCAACTGTTGGTACAACCAAATCAGGTGTTGCAACTTTATGTGTATCAATTTCAATTTGTGGTACTTTATTCTGCCATAATGACCATTCACCAGTCAATGTTATTTCATAATCAATCAATGAATTTGTTGATGATGTTGGTGGTAATGGTATTGTTGTTATACTACGAATAAATTCCCCAAGATCTTGTCGGATTTTTAATTTACCATCACCTGCAAATGACCATAATATTGAATAAACTAATGAACATGGTACATATTTTTCCAAAATTTCCGATGATATTTGAAAATCAGGATGATTTTGATTATACAATAATATGTTTCGACAACATTGATTCAATAAAGAAAATAATGAACTTAGTGCTCGCAACCGAGTAAAATCCATTATATGTTCTTGTTTCGAAGCAAATTCTAGCGATCGTTTTACCAAACCATCAGGTTGAAAATAATTTTGTAAAATTTGTACAAAATTTCTTTGTATTTGTAATGAATCACTGATAACGATATCCTCTTGTTTTTGTTCAGGTTTGGTTACCGTTGTTGATTTTACCGTAGTCATATAGCTTGCTGTTGTCAATGATAATTCATCATCTAAATCTTCCAACGGTATATTACGTAAACGACGGAAAAAATTTTCAAAAATCATTTCCGTTGTTAGAACATCTTCGGAAAACCAAATCATACCACAACGTGATACAGTTGCTAATGTTGCATATTTTAAATCCTGTACTTCAAACATTATTCTTACATTTGGTGGTATACTCAGACGTTCACCATTTGGTAATGTTAATAGTTTATTATCATCCAGCACTGAATTTAAATTTTCAACCCATTCAGGATCAACATCACCATCGAAAATAATCCATTGTCGTTTATTAATTTCACCACGTACATTATCAATAATTTTTCGAAGGATATGAGTGAAAAGACCATCAGTCCATTCACGTGTATTTGGATCTAGCTGACCATAAAGTAATTCTTTCGAAATTGCTTTTGGATTTATAACATGTGCTTGTCCTTCTTGACCATCAAAACGTTCCAGTGCACGAAGTAAAACTTTCCATGCTGTTGATTTACCACTACCAGATGGTCCAACCATCATTAAACCATGATTTAATTGTGATATTTGATATAATTGTAGCACTTTACCCAACCAAGAACATTCATCTTGTTGATTTTGTCCATCTGATGATGAATCATCATGTTGTTGTTGCTGATCATCAACCGAATGATCATCACCATCACCACAAACCAAATACATTTCTTGACAAACATTACGAATTTCTTCACGTAATTTTCGCATTTCAGCTCGGGTATATTTAATACCGGGGAAAACATCTGACAATAATGAAAACAACAATGGAATATCTTCAGCAATCAATTTCGGTACCATTGTTTCGCATATAGATTGTATTAGAATTTCTTGTTCCGGTAATTGTTCAGCAATACGGGATTCATCAACAACCGATGGATCAGATTGTCGTATACGTTGTATACGATCACGTTTAATATTACCGGCTGAAACCAGTACGGATTTCAATGCCCGCAAACCAAAATCATAATGTGGTTGATTGGATAATTGTTCATCACAAAGTTTAAAAAATGGTACAATTTTCGTTGCTAATTTCTCGGCCATACGAAAACCTTGTGAAAAAAGCATAACCTGTGCGATTAATTGTCGATCTGGTTGATTCATCGCAAGCGATCGGAATAATTTTTTCAAATTATCCGGTAAATTTGAACGGCCAGCATAACCAGGATTCATTGTTATGAATATTGCCATATCTGCATTGATTTTCACTTGTTTTCCAATCAATTCAACAACCAAATCAGATTTCGTTGTTGATGTTGAATTATTTTTCAATGTTTCTTGAATTTGTTGAATCTGTTGTGAAACAGCCGATAGCATTCGTTCTTCCAAACGGTTAAATTCATCAAAACAACCCCAAGCACCAACTTGGCAAAGTCCGACAAATATTCTACCCATTGCTTGAAAATCAAATGTTTCATCACAATTAAATACAAGGACAAATCTTCCCAATTGATTTCCAAGCGCTTTAACCGATTCAGTTTTTCCCGTACCAGCCGGTCCAAATGGTGAACCACCAAGACGTGCTTCTAATGCTTGAGTCATTGTTAAATAACAACGATCAGTTAATGGTGTTTGAACCAATTTTTCCTGTACGCCCAAATATTCAAAACCATAATAGAATTTTGCATTTGCCATATGAATGGTTAATTGCCGGAGGATATCCGATTGTTTTGGATCAAAATAAAAACGCATTTGTGATAACCAATCAAATGATTTATTTGATTGAATTTGTTTACGAATCAACTGTCGGGTTACATCACGTTTATGAACAAATTCAGTAATTAAATGTTCTAATTTTTTTCTACGTAATGGTGGTTGTTCTTGCAATACTGAATCGGCCAATATTTGTAATGTTAATTCAACAGATTGTAAAATTGGTTCCAAATTTGGCTGTTGTTGCTGTTGAAGGGTTAATGCAGATTCAATTGATTCTGACCATGATATTTGTACAGCCAGAACGACAATCTGAGCTTGGTAGCGATCCAACCATTCAATAAATTGATTCATTTCAATTTTTTTCGTTGTTGAATCTTCAGTTGCACCGATACGAAACAGAACTTGATCAGCAACAGCTTGTGCAAGCAATTTACCCAATGTAAAACGCATTTCTTGTTCCAACAGCGATAACCATTTATTAATTTTTGGATTATCCACAATGGATATTGGATTAAAAAATCGTACTTCTTCACCTTCTTTTGAACAAAGACCAAGAACATGTGTTTGATCATCATTCAGTATGATCGATGCAATACCGGCAAACATTTTTTTAAAATGTTTTTGTAAACGTAATATATTTTTTGAATTACCAATAATTTCTAATAGATCTTCATCACCAACAAAATAAAAACGTGGAAATGATGAACGTTCACGTTCTAAATATTCACCCAATGCTTTCTGGATTTTACCCAACAAATCAGATAAACGTTCTAATGAACGTTGTACACCAGCTATATTCATAACATCAATAATCATTGGATTTTTCGATACTTTTTTCATTAATTGTAGAAATTCTGAACTTATTGATTGAAATCTTGATGTTTCAACTGGTAACAATGCTTGGATATCTGAACTACCACTAAAAATTCCTTCCAAATAAACCCAACGACGTTGTACATCAATCCAAACATCAAATATTGAATTAATACGATTCAATTTTTCTTCCCACGATAGTGAATCTTCTTCAAATTCTTTATAATATGGTGATAATTTCATTGCCGAAATGGAATTTATATGTTCTTTAACCTTTGTGAATAAATCATCCCAACCACGTATTATACGACATTTATTCTGATAATTTATCAATTCCAGCTGATATGTTTGCCAAAATTCACGAACTTGTTTAAGAAATTCTTCTAATGCCATTTCACCTTGTGCAATCTGTATAATATCTTTAACAATTGTTTCATTTTTTTGCAGATCAATATCCCATACTTGTCCTAATGTTAATTCCGAAAGAATCCATTGTACACGTAATTGTTTACATAAATGACGCCAATGACGTTCTTTCAAAGCGTCGGATTTTAATTCTACAATCAAAACATTTGATTTTGTATATGATTGTACAACACGTTTTACAAAATCATATGATGCATATTGTCGTAAACGTGCTGGCATTTCTTTTAATTGTCCTAATAGACCATCTAATTGTTGTCGAAGTTTTCTTGGTTGTACTGATAACCATGGCATTTCTTTCAAACTATCAATTTGTTCCCATATTTTTGCCAATTCTGTCCATACAAATTTCAAATCTTGTAATTCTTCCAATGATACTTGTAATTTTTGATCATTTGGACTTTGTGCTGATAATCCAGGTGGTTCTAATAATTCTAATGCTTCTTTTGCACGCATTATATTATCACGATCTTCTTGTAAATGATTAAATTTTGTTTCGAAAATTGTCAAACGATTTATAGCTTCTTTTGGATTTATTGAACCTTGTACGGGTTTTCCACGTTCCCATTCCGTTAAAAATTCTACTGTTCTTGCTTCAACTAATTTATCTTCAGCAACAATTTTCACTTGTAATGATGTTACCTGTTGTTGTATGGATTGATCTTTACGTTTCATTATTTCCTGGAAAGCAGACCATTCACCTTCAATATTATCAACATGTAACCAATTATTTGGAAATTGAAAACGTTGTCTTTCCAGTATTCGCTGGCCTTCTTTATAAATTTCAACTTGTTTTCCCCATTGAAGAATTTTTGATTTCAATGATTGTACATAGGTAATGAACGTAACAGCATCTTTTGTATTAGCTGTATCGATAGATTGTTTTTCCAATTCTGTACGACTTGTTGATATAATTGAATGTAGCGAAGACATTTCCTGACCAAGTAATGAACCAAATTTACTTAAAACTTCTTTATGCCATGAATCATATTTTAGCGTAACTTTTGATTGAACTTTTGCATAATCCACAACAATCGGTCCAATTTCTTTACGCGTATCAGCTGTATCGAAAGTTGTACGAGATTTTTTTATCTCTACCAATGTATTCATCCATCGAGTTATATCATCACCTAATTTTGTATAAAGCATATCGGATTGCAGATCCCAAAGCGATTGATATGTTAACCATTGTTGTATATAATCACGCATTTGATTTATTTTCATTTCAATTATTTCATATGCTTGATTCAATATTTTCGGTCCATTATCTTCAGGCATTTTATTTAATAAATCACGATATTGTCGTTGATGAGGACGATCTAAACCAACTTGATACCGACTTGATTCAATACGATTCAATGTTAAAATAACATTTTGCCATGCAAACAGTTCTTGCAGTAAATTAAATCGTGCTTCTTCAATCGATGGACTAACATACATCACCTGATTAGTGATTCGTATTTCATGTATCAATATTTGTATCTGTGGATTACCGCCGCCGCCGCCAACGATACCATCATTAGCTGCTCCAGGTGAATCAGTATCGGTCATGGTATCACCATCTTTACCACTATTATCTTTACGATTACCATCATTACCACCACGATTATCATTACCACCTTCTAATGCACGTGTCCATGCTTTAATGCCAGCTTGTAAACGTAATGCTAATTTCTGTTCAACTTGTTTATCCAATCGGGAAACCCATTCCGTTAGATTTGAATATCGATGTAATGATAAATCATCCACTGCTTTTTGTATTTTATTTAAAATTTCAATAAATGTAAATGATGAATATGTACAATCATCGATTGAACGTAATTCCATATCAATTTGTTCAACAATATCTAATAATTCATCAACTTTTTCTTGAAAATTCAATACAGTTTCACCCAATTTCTGTACATATGAATCACGTTTATATGATTCCCATACCATTGATGCACCTTCCGATATTAAATCTTGAACTTCAGATTTTAATCCAGCAACCAATAATGCCAGTGATGGTTTTTGTTCAACTTTTTCACATGTACGTTCATATGATTTTACTGTTTCGATTAATGATACGGCAAATGGAAAATGTTGATTAGCTTGATGTGCTTTATTCACAATACCTAGGGGGACACGAAATCCAAGACTACGTAGATTACGTACTTCTTTTGCCAAAGTGATAATATCTGGAAGGAAATTTACCCGTAAACGAAATGCAGAACGTTGTTGTGTCCGGGTTGATTCAATAGTAAAAATTCTACCGCTAACATTTAATTGTTTTTGTTGTATATTACGACACCATTCATCAAAAATGGATTGTGTATTTAGCTTCATTCGAAAACTTTCAGCATCATTTTTCAATTTTTGTCCTTCAATATGACTTTCCCAACCTTTACCGAGAACATCTTCAACACGTTTCATATAAACAGATAATTTTCTTTCAATTTGTCGTGCCCATATTATCGAACCAGATACTAATGGCAGATCATAAACACGTGACATTTTACATGCCTTGTTCTGTGGATATTGTACTTTAAATTTTTCATGTAATGTTTCAATATCATCTTTTACACGTTGAATCAATTGGGTTTGATATTCACGTATTGCACCACTTATATGTGGTCGTACAAACAGTGCATTAAATCTTGAGAAAATACGAAACATTTCATTTGCATTTTTTGCCATTCCTAATTGATCACGTAATTTTGCTGTTATTCGTGCTTCAACACGATCAATACGTTCTTCATAACGTTTTAGAGATGCTTCCCAACAATCATTACCTTCTTTACTCATATCTAATGCATCAACTTCTTTTACCAATTCATATGCAATATTAACTTCTTCAATTTCATTTATATCTGCTGTTGTCATAATCGATGATGTATTAGTCGATAATGTTGAATCAAAACCCGATGATGCTTTTTCCGAATCATTTTCCATTGTTTCTGTACCATCTTTTGTCTTAATCATCGTCGATGTTATTGATGGACGTAAAACACGTATAATAACAGCACGTAATTGTTCATGTTGACGACGAAATTTACGCATCTGTTCCATACGTATTTGTAATTTTTTATGTGCAAAACTTATACGCCATATCATTTTCAAATGTTCATCACGTTTCTTTTTAACAATATCTCGTAATAATGTTTGAAATTTTTCATATTCATCATCCCATGCTTGAAATACTTCAAAACATTGTTGAATAATTTTATCAAATTCTTCATAAGGGATATGCATCATACGTCGGGTACCGAGAACTTTAAGCATTTGTGTCATCAAATCACGTGATATTGCTTCCATTAATTTCAATGCACGTTTCATTGGATATTTTGTATTACGAATTTTACGTAAATGTTGAAACAGAACTTGCAAAGCGATACGAATTTTTTGTAAATCAGTTGCAGCCAACAGGTCATTCAAGGGGAAATCTTTCATTAAAGGATTATAATCCGCTACGGTAGCCAATGCTTCTTTCAATCGAGTATCAGCATCAAACGATACGGTTGCATGAAAACGTTTACCATTTTTTAGTATTTCCAACGTTGTAATCACTTCAATACTTTCACGTTTCTCTTGGATTCGCAATAGGGCTCGTTCTAAATTCAACCAAAAACTTATTTCTTGCATAGCCGTTCCACTGCTTGGATCACGATCCAAATTTGTTACTTTTTGTATTTCACGTATCCAACGATTAACACCAGCTTGCAATTGATTTAGGAAAACTGAATCATTAACTTTATCACCAAAATGTTCCATTGTTATCTTTTGGCCTTCATCACGACATTTATTTATAACCTGTTGTACATATGGATGTATTTGTAAACTAATCTCAGGTATATCAATATTTTGTTGTAAATGTAATAGGCCCATTTCTAATTCGGCAATTTTTTTCTCAACATTTGGTGCCATTTTATCACCATCTCTTTCAGCACGACCAGTTTCTTTGACAAACGATTTAAAATAAGGTCCAACAGCAGCCGATACATATGAATGTAATGTTTCATATGGTAATGAATCAGCTAAATTCATAAAACGTAATTGTGATAATAATGATTTATCAGCTTCCAATATTGGACCATTTTTTATCAAAACTAATGAATTTATTTTTGGATTATGATATTTTACTTCTAATTCGATTGTATATTGAACATTATCATCGTTGGTGTTTGGACCGATAATTGATGATGGTGTAACACTATTACCGCCACCACCACTAGCACCGGTTGTTTCATCTTCATCATCATCTGGAATTTAAGGGGGAAAAATTAGAACAAGTTTTTCGAATCAAACAATCGAACAAACCTTTAAGAATTTGTCGCTGTACAACAATGGAACGTGTTTGTGGTTCTTGAATAAATTTTTTCAATTGTTCCAATGTCGATTCTTGCAGCAATAATTGTCGTAATGATTCGGTTAAACAACCATCTTCTTCCATAAAAGCCGGTATCATACGACGTAAATATGCAACCAATATTGATACATCCAATAATGTTGCCGTCGATGTTGATTGAGCAGCACCAGAATTACCACCACCACTGCCAGCAACATTAGCCAATGTTGTTGATGATAATGATTGTTGATCGGTAAAAAATTGTCCCGATGGTATATCACCACCGGTAATATCCATAAATGAATCCGACATTTTTTCTGGTTAAATTAATGTCGTTGAATCGCGTAAAAACGCAATATATAAAAAAAATAATCTTTCTTTTCTTCAAAACCTTCAAAACCTTCAATGGAAAAGATCAAAACTTTAATGAAAAAAAATCAAAAAAATCAAAAATCAAAAAAATTTTCACAAACGAAAACACCACACAAACAGACAAATCGAACACTAACCAAAAAGATAACACACAAAGAAAGAATCGATGTGTCATACTATCAGACCATTTTATAATGGGAGGATACTTTTGATTTGGTAATTTTTTCCATTCATAGATGGCAGCACTGGAGTGGAAAAACATTCGTATTCAAAACGTTCGATTTTTTCTTCGGAAACGTTCGATTTTTTTGTTTTGTAAAAATTTTTAAGTTTTCTTTTTGTAATTAATAATTTTTTTATTTTTTATTTATTTATATGATTATCAATTTGTTTTTTTTCTCTCTTTCAATAATTAATAATTGATGAATTAATGTGTGTGTGCATGTGGCGGGATGATGAACAATGATGATGAACGACGATAATGATAATGATAATATGATGTGAAAACAATGTTGAAACAACGAACGAACGAAAAAAAATGAAAGTTTTTTTTATTTAAAATCGCTAAATTGAAAAATGGTGGTGGTGGCTAAATCTTCTTGTTTGAGGTTGATTCAGGTAAGAAAAAAAATCGATTCTGTGACAAGGTGGTTTTTTTCTGTTGCAGTGAATTTTTTTTTATATAAAAGAATATTCTTCTATCATCATCATCATCATCATCATCGGGAAATTAAAAAAAAAATGAAGAAAAATGTGAACAACAACAACAGAAAAACAATGTAATACGATGTTTCTTCAACTTTGTTTTGTTTTTTTTTACATAAAAAAAATTTGAAATGAAAAAATTATTCGCTGGGTCATTGTGATGTGTGTGGTGGTTGGTTGGATGGATGACATTTATGATTTTCTTCATTTTTTTCCGTGATGTGAACATTCAACAAAATAAACAAAACAAACATAAAAAAACAACGAAAAAAAAATTAATTAAAATGTGCGCATTCATCAAAAATAGTGGTGGTTTTTTTTGTGATGTAAAGTTTTGATGAGATTTTTTTTTCTTGTGTTGTGTGAAAACAAAACAAAAAAAAATAGTGAAAAACAAAAAATTAAAACAAAAAAAAAATTCTGTAAAAGAGATCATTCGGATTCTTTCGGTGTGTTTTATGTGTGTGTGTGTGTGTTTTTTGTCGACGACAACGATGATGATTTTCAGCTTCAATTTTTTTTCACCATTATTAAATCTCAATCAAATATTCATTTTTTTCACATCGATTCAAAAAGATTTACCGGATAAAAATTTTGTCCATATTTTCATCAAGCCTGGAAAAAAAACCATACACGAATTGATAATTGATTGTCATTTTGTTATTTTTTATCATTATTATTATTATTCTTGTGACCTTTCTTTTTTCACTTTAAATGGTATTGTTGTTGTTGTTGTGGCTGATGCTGTTGATAACATTGGCTGACCATTTGATACGGTTGTACCACCACCACCAATACCATTTGTTGTAATTGAATGATCAATAGCAATAGGTGTTGATGTTGTTGTCGCCGCTGTTGTTGCCGATATCGATGATAATGATGATGATGAAATCGATACCGTTAATCCAGAAGATTGTGATGACGGTAATGAATTCGTATTATTGGCCATTGTTGTTGATGATGCAGATGATGAAACTGAAGATGATGATGATGTAGTTGTCGATGATTGATGATGATGATTACTACCGGTATTATTGCTGCTATTATTATTATTATTCAATGAATGTGATGTGTTGGTAGTAGAATTTAAATTTAAATTATCATCACCTAATATTGTTGATATTTCACCTTGCATAAATGCCCATGGTACTGAACTACCCATTAATGGACATTTTTCACCACTTGGACAATAAACTTCCCCACCACTATTACTACCGGAAATATTTGCATTCGATTGTTGTTGTTGTTTAATCGATTGCCTTGAACATGGAAAACAAAATTTGTGCGTTGATACCGATGGACATTGTACAAAATGCGTATCCTCTAAACGTTCTTGACATATTGTACATTTTAATGGTGGTGATTGTACCGATGTAGTTGTTGTTGATGGTGCCGATGTTGATGAATTCGATGTTGATGATGATGATGATGGAGGTGTTGTTGTTGTTGTCGTTGTTGATGGTGGTGAATGATGATTATTTAATTGTTGTTGATGATGATGATGTTGATGGTGTTGATGTTGATGATTTGAATTATTGACCATTGAATTGGCCGTTGATGATGGCACTGATGATGATGATGATAATAATTGATTTTGACTATTTATCGATGATGAATCAATCAATTGATTTGAAGTTCGTGATTTTTTTATGGGTAATAGACTAGTGGAAGATGATGATGCGGATACGGAATTTCCAATCAATGGTGGTGATGTTGCCGATGAAGAAGAAGCGGCTGCAGCAGCAGCAGCTGCTGCAGCAACTGCTGCTGCTGAATAAAATGGTTGTTTCGATGTTATACCAACAATACCCGATGATGATTGTGATAGATTTTTTGCCGAAACCGTTGAATCAAATGACATAACACGACTCATTGATGGATGTGATGAATGATGTAATTGATCAGCACGTGATAATTTTCTTGATAATGATGTTGGATCATTTGCTAATGTTAAACCAGGTGCTGCCATAACAGCCGGTAATGATTCACCACGTGTTAATGGTGGTCTTTGTCCACCACCACCACCAGCTGATAATACAGCTGCTGCTGCAACAGCAGCAGCATTCATTTCATCAATTACTAAATGCTGTCTATGCTGTTGTTGATTCGGTATAACAATATCAACATCATTTATATCATCAGCAATATGTATAGTACGTTTTCCTCCCATCGTTGTTGTTGTTGATGATAATTGTGTTGGTATTCCGGAAGAATTTCTCAATGATGATGATGATAATACACCACTTGCAAGTGTTGTTGTTGATATTAATGATGATGGATTTGTAACATATGTACCACCACCACGTGGTGAATTTCCACGTATTAAATTATCATTATATGATGATTGTGATTGTGATGATGATCGATTATTTGAATGTTCAATTGCAGCAATTGTTGTTGCATAATTTGTTAATGAACCATTTAATTTAAATGTTTGCTGTTGTTGTTGTTGTTGTAATGCAGCAGCAGCAGCAGCTGATGATGATCGAAGTAAATTAGCTGATATTATTTGTTGATGATGATCATTTTGATTTGTTTGTTGAACAACACCATGTTGTTGTTGTTGGGCGGCAGTTATTGTATTACCCGTTTGTGGAATTATAAATGGAACGATATTACCACCAGCATTGGCTGCTGCTGCAGCAGCAGCCGCTGCAGCAATTGCATGTTGATGATGATGATTAATTGCTGCTTGTTGTTGTTGCTGTTGTTGATGATGTTGATGCTGTTGTTGTTGTTGATGATGATGATGTTGTTGTTGCTGTTGTTGATGATGATTATGATGTTGATGTTGAATTAAATAATGTCCAGTTGCACGTTTCATTTGACGTGCATTATCAATAATTAATTCAATACGATCAACACCTTCATAATTAACACAACCACGACAAACAATTTCAGAAAAATCATGTAATAATGCCCATGGCATACGTGGTGAATCACATAGATAACAATTTTGTCTTTGTGTTGTTGTTATTGTTGGTGTTAATGATGATAATGATGATGATGATGATTGTGGTGCTGGTGTTGTTGCTGTTGTTGGTGGTGTTGGTGTTGATGTAGCCATTCCTATTATATTATTATTATTATTTCCACAAATAGCTGAAGATGCAACAATTGAATTACTAATACCGGTCAACGATGTTGATGATGATGATGACATACGATGATGACCATTAAACAATAATGACATTATTTTTCATTCATATCGACAAAAAACAAACTGCAAGTTCAAAACACGGTGATTTTTTCTGAAACACACTGAATCGATTCAAAACCTAAATTAAAAAGAAAGAGAAAAAAAACATGTGAAAATTAGAAACAAGAGAAAAACTGATTATCCACCCACACACCAAGAATATTTCATTGATTGATGACAACATTCCATCAGAAAAATTAACTTTTTTTAAAAACAAAATTGATCGAAATCACATATGAAACGAACAATAACGAATATATATAGACCGATCGAGTAAAAGAAAAGAAACCAATGACTCACAAAACAAAACAACAAATATAAAACATTTTTGTACTCAAAATAATATTAAAAATGTACCAATTGGCATGGCATGTGTGATATATAATGAATGATGTATATAGGAAACCTGGGCCAAGAAAAAATTTTTAAAAATAACCAGGATTTCTATCCATTTCTTTCGATAAAATATTAATCAATCGGATATAATCGTAGATTTACAATAATCATCATCATTAGATTTTTAATATTGTAATTTTACAACTAAAATCAAATCTCGATTGATAAGATAATTTGGATAAGATGCTGATGATAATCAAAAAAAGGGACCAAAAAAAAAGAAACATACTTATCATTAACAGAGCTTGTTTGGTTGCCAAAATGATGATAATTGATGATTGGCAGGGTGGTTTGTTGACGCCCAATGTTGTTTTTTTATTAAAAAAAAAGTTTATTGATGATGATGATCAGAAGAGAAACCAAAAAAACAAAACATTTTCAAATCACATGGTGATATTATTTAATTTCATTATCATCATAGTCATTGAGGGTTAATTAAGAAGAAAATTTCAAAACAAAAAAAATGAAAAACTTTTTCCAGGTCAAAGTTTTCAGAAGCTAAAATCGAATGTTTTCAACAACAGAAAAAAAACCACATTTTTGTTTTGGGAAAAAAGAGAAGAGAATATTATACGGTCAAACTTCGTAGGTTTTCATTTCATTTCATTCACTTTCTTCAGATATTCTCTCTTTCTAAAAAAAATCCAACTCCCAAAATTGAATATTGGAAATAACCAGAAAAAAACCACACACAGCCACTGAAAAAATCAATATCACACACACACACAAATTGAACATTGAACGCATGCAATGCATGCACCAGAAAAAAAATTGAAAAAAAAATTCTGAATGGAAACTGCTGCTGCTGCTGCTTTCAGACTGTATTTTTTTTTTTTTTTTTGGGGGAATGAAATGGAATAATTTTTTGGGGATAACACCAATATACACCATCCCCCCCTCTCTCCCTCTCT